ACCCACTGTCCCTTGTCCTGTCATTGGCCATCACCGAGAAGAGCCCGGCTCCATCCTCCTGACACTCGCCCTTTACGTATTTATAAACATTGACGAGGTCACCTCTCAGTCTCCTCTTCTCCAAGCTCAAGAGCCCCAGCTCCCTCAGCCTTTCATCATGAGGGAGATGTTCCACCCCCTCAATCATCTTTGTGGCTCTGTGCTGGACTCTTTCCAGCAGTTCCCTGTCCTGCTGCAGGAAGGGTGTCCAGCGGGGGGCTCAGAGAACTGGGTCCGGAGAGAACATCGATCTGCAGCCAGGTGCGTGCCGGAGGAGCAGGGGGTGGTGGGCCAGGAGGGGCACACTGTCCAAGGAGGGAGCGGACAGCACAGGATCCAGCCCTGGTGGGACTCAGAGAGCTCTGCGGGGCTGGAGCCAGGACAGGGAGCTCAGAGAAGTGACATGAGACCCGGGCGGGGAGCAGCACAGTCCCCGGGACAGGATACTGACTGACTGGGAGCAGAGGGATCAGAAGGGGATCCAGCCTGAACAGAGAGGGAAGCCCGGGACAGGGACACATGCAGCAAAGCAGATGCCAGAGAGGAGGGAACAAAGCAGAACTCAGCTGAGGCCTCTTACCTTATTTTTGCTGCTCTCACAGCCCTGCAGGCTGGCCAGGATCTGGCTCTCGATGGCCTGGACCCAAAGCTCTCGCTCCTCTGACGTTGAGGCCTCAAAGAGCCACGTCTGGCCCGTCAGGGACACGATAATGAACTCAAAGGGCTCATCTGGTTCTGCAAAAGAAAAGTGTGCCGTGACATGGGTCAGGGAAGGAGGGGGTCTGCTGGTCTCGCAGGGCCTGAGCACACAGACAGATCCCTGCGGGCCACTGCTGTGCTGGCACACGGGCGGGATCGATGGCAGCAGGGGTCCCCAGAAGGGTGGGACAGGGAGGCGCAGGCAGAGAGCGCCTGCAGGGAGGAACCAGAGCTTGTGCCAGCCCGTCCCTCCTGCTGCTCACACGGCTCCCTGTGTGCCAGCTCCACTAGCATGGGCTTGCCCTTCCTTCCACACACGAACGTCAGCAGCCTCGCTCTCCCACCACCCTGGATGGATGGGAAACCCAGGAGGCTGTGGCACTGGACTCCTGTAAGCTGCTTGCACCCTGCTCTCCATGCCCTCTATATCCCACCCTTGGACAAAGCTGCTGATCTCTCGAGCAGTGAAATCAGCTCCTTCGCAGAGCTGGTGCCCCCGAACAGCCCCATTGCCCCCCAAGGGCCCACAGAAGCTCAGTGCCTGCCGATGAGTGGCTTTAGAGGGACAGGGCCCCACACACTGAATTAGGAGATGCCAGGAGGGCCCTGGCGGTGGGCTCAGAGGCAGCTCTTCGCAGTCCTGTGCATCAAGAAGGGGCACCATCACCAGCTGAGGGGCGCAGCAGGACAGGGATGCCGCCCGGGAAGCCCGCAGTGCTCGGGCGCCCCATGGACCCACACAACAGGGCACAGCCGCTGCTCTCCTATAGAGAAGAATTAAGTCACAAAGAGCCAGGCAGGAGCCATGGAGAGGCACGACTGATGCCAGCTCTTGGTGCCCTGCCGGGCAGGGGGCCTCTAGCTCCCAAACCTGGGAAGCTGGTGGCCACCGGTGTCCCTAGAAGCCGGCCAAGCAGAGCTGCTCCCGTGAGGCAGCAGGGATGCATGCAGGGCTGGGTGACTTGCCCCTCAGGCGCCTCAGCTGCTCCTCTGCACAGCACCGGCTTCTGCACCCCACAAGCAACCCCAGAAGTTACAGCTCCAGTATTAAGGCACCTCTCTGGCTGTGAGACATGTGGGGACAAATTCCTGACTTTCCATCTGCAGGGAAGATACTTTTGTGGAGCCTGAAGGGTTGCTCTGGCTGCCAGGCACTTAGAGGCTGGGTACAAATGGAAGGGTTGGCATCCCTACAAGCGCAGGCTGCCTGGTGGGTTCCCAGGGAGGGTATCAGAGCACAGGCACCTCTGCACTGGGTGGCAGAGCCAGCAGCAGAGACACGGGGGACAATGAAAACACGCGAAAGCACCTCAGGCCTCCTGGGCCCCAGAACGTGGCCCCAAAACAACCAAG